CTAAAGAACTGTGTTGCAGAGTTTGCAGCATTCTGAATAAGAACACTACTCAGACATTTCAACACTTTATCAAACAGGTGAAGTACCTCTGGATGTTCGAGTTCGGCCTCGAACTTGACCCCAAACCCGAACCCCATTGAAGTCAATGGGGTCCCGAACTTTTTGGCACTAAAATGGCTCTAAAAAGTCCTGGAAAGGGCTAGAGGGCTTCAAAATGAAGTAAAATGGGGCTATGAGTAGGACAAGTGCCCTGCAAACAATTGGGGTAGTCCCCAAAATATTGGGACATATAAAAAAAGAAAACAAAGAATAAGTGCACTTGAGTATAACAATGGCTGGGTGAGGCCGGTATAAATGTCTATTCTGCACAATGTACAGACAAGTCTGGTGGGATCCATGCCTGGTTCATTTTAATAAACGTGAGCTTGTCTACGTTGGCTGTAGACAGGCGGCTGCGCTTGTCTGTGATAACGCCCCCTGTCGTGCTAAACATACGTTCGGACAATACACTGGCTGCAGGGCAGGCCAGCACCTCCATGGCATAAAGGGCAAGCGCAGGCCATGTGCCCAATTTGGAGACCCAGAAGTTGAATAGGGCAGACCCATCAGTCAGTATGTGTAGGCATGTGCACACGTACTGTTCCACCATGTTGCTGAAATGCTGCCTCCTGCTAAGACGTTCCATATCAGATGGTGGTGCTGGTTGTTGTGGCGTGCTGACAAAGCTTTTCCACATTTCGGCAATGCTAACCTTGCCTTTTGAGGTGCTGGCGGTGCCCCAGCTGCGTTGGCGACCTCCTCCTCCTCCTCTGCCTTCACCTTGTGCTTCCACTGAGCCCCCGGTGTCAGTCGGGAATGCCCACAGCAGCGTGTCTCCCAGCGTGCGCTTGTAGTCGTGCATTTTCCAATCACGCTCCAGTGAGGGAATTAAGGACGGCACATTGTCCTTGTAACGGGGATCCAGCAGGGTGGCCGCCCAGTAATCAGCAGAAGTTAGAATGTGGGCATCTCGGCAGTCGTTGCGCAGGTACTTTGGTGACTCTAGATAACTTCGGGACGATCGCACGTCCCTGTGACGGCGACAACGCATTCGGATGTCTGCCCTGTGGACTTTCGATGGTACTTTCTGCGCCTAGCATGGTGACCACGGGCAATGGGGAATCAGGGTTTGATTCGGGAGAAGGAGCCTGAGAAACGGCTACCACATCCAAGGAAGGCAGCAGGCGCGCAAATTACCCACTCCCGATGCGGGGAGGTAGTGACGAAAAATAACAATACAGGACTCTTTCAAGGCCCTGTAATTGGAATGAGTACACTTGAAATCCTTTAACGAGGATCTATTGGAGGGCAAGTCTGGTGCAGAGCGACTGACCCGTGTGTGCTGCAGCTGAAACTCCACTATCGCCAGCTGCTGCTCGCACAGTCTCTCCAGCATGTGCAAGGTGGAGTTCCACCTTGTGGGCACGTCGCATATGAGGCAGTGAGCGGGAAGGCTGCAGTTATGCTGCAGCGCAGACAGGCGAGCAGCAGCAGGGTGAAAACGCCGAAGCGCGCACAGACGGCCCGCACTTTCTGCAGCAGCTCTGATCTACCTGGGTAGTTTTTCAGGAATTTCTACACCACCAAATTCAGCACATGCGCCAGGCAAGGGATGAGCGTCAAACCGGCTAGGCCCAGAGCTGCTACGAGATTTCGCCCATTATTGCACACCACCAGGCTGGGCTTGAGGCTCAGTGGCAACAACTACTCATCGGTCTTTTGTTCCATGCCTGTCCACAGCTCCTGCGCGGTGTGGGGTTTTCCCCCCAAACATATGAGTTTTAAAACAGCCTGCTGTCATTTCTCCTGGCTGTGCTGAAGTTGGTGGTGAAGGTGTTACCGGATGAGGAGGTGGTAGAGGAGGAGGAAGCGGAGGAGGAGGAGGAGGCAACAGGAGGCAAAGAGAAATGCACTGTAATCATCGGTGGCGGAAGGACATGCGCCAAACTGCTATCCGCCTCAGGCCCAGCCGCCACTACATTTGCCCAGTGTGCAGTTAGGGAGATATAGCGTCCCTGCCCGTGCTTACAGGTCCACGTATCAGTGGTTATGTGGACCTTGCAACAGATGGCGTTGCGCAGTGCATACCTGATTTTGTCCGCCAATTGGTTGTGCAGGGAAGGGATGGCTCGCCTGGAAAAGTAGTGGCGGCTGGGAACCACGTACTGTGGGACAGCCACCGCCATCAGGTTTTTAAAACTGTCCGTCTCCACCGGACGGAATTACAGCATTTCAAAGGCCAGGAATTTTGAAATGCTGGCATTCAGGGCCAGGGATCACAGGTGGATAGGGGGATACTTCCTCTTTCTCAACAGTGTTTGGGAGATGGACAGTTGAATGCTTCCATGGGACAGTGTGGAGATGCTTGGGGGCGGTGGCGGACGTGGTGGTGTTGCTGCCACATCCTATGTTTGCGGGGTGGAGGAAGAGGCAGAGACAGCAGCAGAAGAGGTAGCAGGAGGAGCCTGAGACCTTTCTTGGTTTTTGAGGTGCTTACTCCACTGCAGCTCATGCTTTGCATATAGATGCCTGGTCATGCAGGTTGTGCTCAGGTTTAGAACGTTTATGCCTCGCTTCAGGCTCTGATTGCACAGCGTGCAAGCCACTCGTGTCTTGTCGTCAGCACATTGTCTGAAGAACTTTCACGCCAGGGAACTCCTTGGAGCTGGCTTTGGTGTGCTGGGTCCCTGGGTGCAGTGGGCAGTAGCAGGCGTACTGTCTAGGGGACGGCCACTCCGCTTTTGCACCAGGCTCCCTCTTATGCTGTGCTGGTGCCTCTGTGCGACCATCGCCTCTTCCTCTAAACTTCACACGTCACTTGCATGACCTCGATTCCATGTGGGGTCTAGGACCTCATCATCCTCCACATCATCTTCCACCCACTCCTCAACCCTGCCCTCCTTGCTGGTCTGCACACTGCAGAAAGCCACAGCAGTTGGCACCTGTGTTTCGTCATCAGAGACGTGCTGTGGTGGTCCATGCATGTCCACAACTTGACACATAAGTGGTTGTGCATCAGTGCACTCAGTCTCTTCCACTTCTGGGGCAGGGCTAGTTGGATGGCCCACGGAAACCCCACCAGCAGAGTCATCAAAAAGCTTAAGAAACTGCTGCATGACTTGTGGCTCAAACTGCTTGGCTGATTTGCAAGGGGCTGAGGTGAAAGACAAATTGCCATGGGCTGCAGGTGCCAACTCTGAGCTTCTGAGCTTTCAGCAGGGGACCGGGTGGTGGACAATGTGAAGTAACTGGAGGCACTGTCAGCCATCCAATCTACTATCGCCTGTACTTGTTCTGGCTTCACCATTCGTAGAGCGGAATTTGGGCCTACCAAATAACACTGAAGGTTCTGTTGCCTACTAGCACCTGAGGAAGGTGTTTCATTTGCTGACACAGATTGACCACATCCTCTCCTTGCAACAGGAGCTCCACCAACACCAGCAGCACCACGACCAGGGCCATGTCCCTTATTTGACGCTCTCCTCATTCTTTGCGTTCACCCACCAAACTCAAAGTGCCATGTAACCACAGTATCTGACGGTTCTATTTGACTCTCAGATATAAAGTACACGCCACAAATGTACTTTTTAGCACACAAAAAATGTGAATTTTTAAAAGTGCTATGTAACCACAGTATTTGACGGTTCTATTTGACTCTCAGATATGAAGTGCACGCCCCAAATTAACTTTTTAGCACCAAAAAATTTTGAATTGGTCAAACTGCGATGTAACCATAGTATTTGACGGTTCTATTTGACTCTCAGATATGAAGTGCCCTGCAGGCAGCAAATTTACTTTTTAGCACAAAAAAAAAAATAGAATATTTCAAAGTGCTATGTAACCACAGTATTTGACGGTTCTATTTGACTCTCAGATATGAAGGGCACGCCACAAATTTACTTTTTAAAAGCAAAAAAATTTGAATTTTTAAAAGTGCTATGTAACCACGGTATTTGATGGTTCTATTTGACTCTCAGATATGAAGTGCTTGCCACAAATGTACTTTTTAGCACCAAAAAAATTTGAATTTTTCAAAGTGCGATGTAACCACAGTATTTGGCGGTTCTGTTTGACTCTCAGATATGAAGTGCACGCCACAAATTTACTTTTTAGCACCCAAAAAGTTTGAATTGGTCAAACTGCGATGTAACCACAGTATTTGACGGTTCTATTTGACTCTCAGATATGAAGTGCACGCCCCAAATTTACTTTTTAGCACCAAAAAATGTTGAATTGGTCAAACTGCGATGTAACCACAGTATTTGATGGTTCTGTTTGACTCTCAGATATGAAGTGCACCGCAGGCAGCAAATTTACTTTTTAGCACCCAAAAAAACTTGAATATTTCAAAGTGCTATGTAACCACAGTATTTGACGGTTCTATTTGACTCTCAGATATGAAGTGCACGCCCCAAATTTACTTTTTAGAAGCAAGATAATTAGAATTTTTCAAAGTGTGATGTAACCACAGTATTTGACGGTTCTATTTGACTCTCAGATATGAAGTGCATGCCACAAATGTACATTTTCTAGCACCAAAAAAATTTGAATTTTTAAAAGTGCAATGTCACAGCAGTATTTAAAAATGCCTAGATGTTGCCCACTGAGCTACCAGAATAGGATTAAAGTAATGTGCCTAGCACAAATGCAGTTGCAAGTGCCCACCTAACAAACAGACTGATTGCTTATTTCTCTGTGGCACTGGGCTCAGGGCAGGGTACAAAAATGTAGTATAGCACCCACAAAAATAATCGCTGTAGTTTGCAGATTCAACACCAGAATTCTTTTCTAATCTGTCCCTCACAACTGCAGCATTCTCTCCCTACACTAATAAGAGCTCATGTGACTCCAGCTTATATAGAGGCTGGGTCACATGGTGCACTGGCCAATCACAGCCATGCCATTAGTAGGCATGGCTGTGATGGCTTCTAAGGACACACAAGTCAAACGCTTGTTGATTGGTTCGGGGTAAAAATATTGTAATGTTCGGTACGAACCTGAACTTTACAGTTTAGGTTCGCTCATCTCTACCTCTCTATACACACAGAGTAGCAGCTGAAAGATGTTGAACTCATATTTGAAAAAGCTATAGCAGAGGCAAATCTTGCAGTTATTTTTGCCAACATGTGCAATTGGCTAATGATGCTTAAGGTCCCAACAGAAGATAATTGCAAAGTCTACATTATGTTTCACAGCCTGCTACTAAGGCTCTGCCTGAAGGAGTTTGAAAGAAGTGAAAATAGGGGAAAAGGAATTCAAAATCTGCAAAAGGAACTGGAAGCAGCTAAGACACCAAATGAAAAGACTCGACTAAAAAGAGGAACTGAGTGATACCTGAGGTGATCCCAAGGGAACATCAAATTTAATTGGTAGCTATTTAAATTAAAATTGTTCTCAGAAAACATAATGAACAACTGCCTTGTTAAATTACTGAACAAGAACAGCGAGGAGTCCATGGAGTGCACCTGAATTTTTCTCACATCAATTGGAAAATATCTAGAAAACAGACAGTTTTGCATGTACTATTTCAGCAAGATTGATATATTTATTCTAAAAACACAAAAACATCTTCTTGTGTGATAGGAGCAACAGGATGCCTCAGAAACATCTGGAACTTATGTGGTTAAATTGCTGTGTAAACACTCAAGACTAGGGCGCATGTGTGGAATGGCAGGAATGCTTACAAGTAGCTAATACATGTAGTGATAAGTAATAGCTTGCTAACTGGGTAATATTTGCTGAAGTTTGGGTGTAACTCTTGTATTTCCTCTGTACGTATGAATTATGTCATTTATGATATATAAGCTTTGTTCGCTGATTCGTGGCTCAGTGTATTTCGGACATTAGTCTGACACTGAGACGCTGCACAGAATAAATCATTGTTTGCTTCCTGAAATCTGTGTCCAGTCTCTTACGTGCTTCTTGCATTCCCTCTATACTTGGATTTGATTTTTGGTGCAGGATGTCCTGGATTTGAGGAGAAATAACTGGGTACCTCAACATAATCCCCAGGGTCCAAAACCAATAGATCAGATCCACAAAGAGGCAGAACTGGAATCCAGACAAAAAGTGTAGTGAACCAAAAAAACAAAAACAAAAAAACAACACTACTTATTCTATGGATATACACAACATATGCACAGAGACAAACGTGCAGATTCATTCACATACATACATTCAAAATCATTCAAGCAGTGATACCAGGTTTTATGCACAAAGAAACACATACTCATATACAGATCGAGACAAATGCATATTCATACATAAGCACAAACATTTATTCAAAGACAAATTGAGGCAATTATGCAAAGACAAACACATTCACATACACTCTTACACTGCCTAATAGCAGCTTTAACACCTGAACAGACAAAATATGAAACAAACACATTATTTGTGGCAGAAAAACATTATTTAGCATTGCACTTGATAGTTTCATCATTGCTGTTGCTGTTCTTCAAATTCATCCTGATATACTGATATTGGTTTGTTCTTTTGAAATTGAGGTATTTTATTTCCATGGCCATTGCTTGGATTCAAATATACCTATAGAGTCTGCCAATACTCACTGACACTATCCTAAGGCCTCTTCACTTGGTTTATCTGTAGCGGTTTAGTACACATTCCCTTAAAAGAAAACTCCAAGCATCAGCACTCTGTAGTGGTTATGGTGCCTGGAGTACCCTGCTGCCCTCACAGGTTAAGTAGTCAAACTTTTTGAGATGAGGCACTTTCACCTGTGCACTTGGAAGCTCCTGCATCAAGCTAGACCAGTGGTCCAGGGCTTAGTTCTTTGATTGAGAGCGCTCAACTTACCATCTCAGCCAGCAGGCTTAAAAAAGTGGCGTTAATGAAAGCTTCATCTACCAATAACACTGCAAGGGGGTGAGGGCACAACTAGCACTATAACTATTGCAGCGGACTGGTTATGGTGTTTCAAATAATTCTTTAAACCGTTCGGGCACTGCATATCTCAGTCACTGAAAGGGTTAAGCTGTGCAGGCTGTAAAACTAGGTCTCCCTTGTAGTCTATTCTAGTGGACATTAATATTAGGATGTTAAAATATTCATTTAATGTTCTTATAACCAAGGCACATATTTGCTAAACATTTCTATAGTTATTCACTACAGTAGGACTTTAAAGTGAATTTCAAATTAAGGGCAAAATAGCCAAAATGGAAGCATAGCTGACATGGAGAACGTTTCCATTTGACATTTTTGGCCTCAAATGGGAAATTCATTTTGAATTCACAGTGATTCTCACTTTAGTACATAACCCTGAAAGGATCCATACTCACTGGCTAGCTGTGAATCATCTTGTGTTTTATGAAATTATCAGAGTAAGTTCCCCAAGTGTATTTGGAGAAGCAATGCAAATCATGTTTCATGCAATGTTTCAGGTGAAATAATTATTTATGAAAGTACATAACTAAAGGTGATCAGAAAACATTTATGTTGCACATTCCTACTCCAAATAAATGTGGAGTGAAACTAGTACATCCTTAATAGCTATTTTTCATTGCTTCATACTGTAAATGGCATTGTAAGAATCAAACAGTGCTACTGCTACTATGTTTGGCAGCATTGGGGCAATCATATTTTTCAGGTACCACATTCACCTACTCTAATTTTTATTTTGAATTGACGTATCTATGATTTTAATCATTTTAGAAAGTTATATTGCAAGAGGGAGTTATAATTTTAAAGCTAAATATTTGCAAAAATTTACTATACATTTAAAGGGAAACTACAGTGCCAGGAAAACTCGTGTTCTTGGCACTATAGCTTTCCCCTCTGTCAAGCCCCTCCCCCCCCAGTGGTGCAGCCCTTCTGTCACTTACCTGGGTCCAGCGCCGATATCCCTCAGTGATCCCTCAGCTTCTCCCACGCTCCTTGCTGATGTCGGCGGGGGATACCTAATGCCCATGCACGGCAAAGGGCACG